CAGAATGCTCCTTAAAAGCCAGGGTGGTCTCTCATACTTCTGACATGTTAACAGAAGGGACCAGACTTTGGAGAAAGATATTATGCTTGGTAAAGTGGGGTGTCTGTGAAAAACAGAAAGACCCCCAATGAGAAGGATTTACATAGTGCCAGCAGCAATACACTCAAACATAACAACTGAGAGGATGTCATGAACCCAGGTTTTGTTCTGTTGTGCAAGGGTTGGTAAGGGTCAAGATTGACTTGATGGCACCCTAAGAACAGTATACATTGCTGGCGGTGTTAAGTGCTGTTGAGTTGGTTCCAACTTATAGCGATCCTGTATAGGGTTTCCAAGGTGCGGCTGTTGAGTTAGAACTGCCACCCTTTTGCTTCAAACTGACCTTTCAGTCACGTGCTTATCCTATAGTGCCAAACTTGCTAATGTTGTTAAGTGCCATCAAGTCGGTTCCATCGCATAGTGACCCTGTATAGGATTTCCAAGGAGCAGCTGGTGAGCTTGAACCGGCAACCTTGTGGTTCAAGCCAACTTTGCCATCTAGTGCATTAGCCCAGTGCCACACACTTGCTAAGAATAAAGTAATATGGTGCAGCTGCTCTGGAAAACAGTCTGGCAGTTCTTCAATAGTGAAACCTAGAGTTACTATGAGATGGAACAATTTCACTCATAGGTATTTATTATTGTTATTGCTAAGTGCCGTTGAGTCACTTCCAACCCATAGCAAACAGGGTTTCCAAGGTTTGAACCACCAACCTTGTGGTTCACAGTCCAGTTCTAATCCTACAGTGCCACCGAGGAGTCTATAGGTATATATATTTAAGAGAAATAAAAACACATGTCCTCATGAAAATGTGTAGATGAATGTTCACAGTGGCATCATTTATAGTAGTCAAAAAGTGGGAACAGTATAAATGTTCATAAAGTGAAGAATGTCCAAGCAAAGCATGGTATATTCATATAATGAATCAACAATAAAAAGATATGAAGCTTGAAAACATGGTAAGTGTAACAAGACAGTCACAAATGGCCACAAATTTTATGATTCCATTCACGTGCAATTTCCAGAATAGGCAAATTTGTAGAAATAGGAAATAGATTAGTGGTTGCCAGGAGTTGGAGGGAGAGATTAGGAAGTAACTGTATATGTACAAGGTTTCTTTTTGGAGTGATGAAATGTCCAGAAATTACAATTTGTGGTAGTTGCACAATCCTGTCAGTAAACACAGAATTATATACTTTAAAACAGTAAATCGTATTTCAAAAAAGCGGAGTTTTTTTTGTTTTTTTTTTTAACTCTGCTATTACCTATACTAAGAGCTCTGGTAGCATGTGATTACGAATCGGGCTGAGAACCTTAAAGTCAGCAGTTCGAAACTACCAGATAGATGTTCTGTAGGAGAAAGATGAGGCTTTCTTCTCCTGTAAAGATTTACAGCCTCGGAAACCCTGTACAGGGTCGCTGTGGGTCGGAATCGACTCGACGGCACTTAACATCATTACTTATACTGGAGTCCTGGTGTGGCACTGTGGGTTAATGCATCAGACTGCAAAGCCGTCTGAACTGCAGAGTTGGCAGTTCAAGCTCATCAGCTGCTCCTGGGAAACCCTGCACAGGGTTGCTATGAGTCAGAACCAACTCAAGGGTACTTATCAACAACAGGGGCTCTGCAGGGCACAGCAGAATTGTCCCATAGGTTTCCAAGGCTGAAAATCTATACAAAAGCGAGAGAGCCACATCTTTCTCCTGCAGAGTGACTGCTCTGTACACCCAGGGCTCCTTCCACACAGATATACTCAGCAGCTTTATTTTGTCTCCCTCTTAGTTGCATAAGTTCTACTATCAGTCCTTTAAAAGGCAGTTGACCAGTGAGTGAGGTCAGAGCTTTGCCGTCCAGCTATCAGCTAACCCACTCCTAAATAATGAAGGGCTGCAAATCCAGAGTCACAAAAAATAGTCGCCAACTCTTCTTTGGGTTTGGCTGTCCTACTCACTTTATAAAGCCAAAGAATTCAATCCAGTTAAAGCATTAAAGTTTTATAAATTAAAATGTCAGGGAGAAATGAAACAGATCACAATGCTTTTAAAAGAGCCTCAATGTAAAATTGTGACTATTTTAGACTCTGCTAATTGCAGAGTCCTGGTGTGGCACTGTGGGTTAATGCGCCAGACTGCAAAGCAGTTTGAACTGCAAGGTCGGTGGTTCAAGCTCACCAGCTGCTCCCTGGAATCCCTATACAAGGTCACTATGGGTCGGAACCAACTCAATGGCACTTGACAGCAACCATTTCTTTCTTGATTTAATTTAGAAGGAAAAATCATAACAGGTAAAGTACAACAATAAAACGACGTGTAATAACACTTATTTCTGCTTTACAGTCATTTAAACTAGAAGCTTATAGCACCTGTTTTTCTTCTAACCCATAGCAACACCATTTCTAAGGATTCCTACATTTTTCTCATATATGTTATTTGTTTGATGCTGATGAGTTGATTTTTACTCATAGCATCTCCAAGTCACAGAGTAGAACTGCCTCATATGGTTTTGTAGACTATGATTTTCACAGGAGCAGATGGCCAGGTCTTTCGGTCAACAGCTGATAGCTTAATTGCTGTGCCACCAGGGCTCCTTTTCTCATTTTTACACATCTGAACATCTTCCCAAAGTGTCTTAATAATCTGTTATTTGAAAATGCTACCTTTACACCTTTTTAAATGAAGTCAGAACTGACTTACATCTATGTGAGAATGCTTAACAATTTAAAGATAAAGCCAAAACTGGGGTTACAAATTGAATACCTGTATCACATACAGGTGATGGAAATGAGTGGATCAAATCACGGGTGCTGCTGATCTCCAGAATTAAAGTGAGAATTCGACCACTGAATCACCATTGCCTCATGTTATCAAGCTGTTGTTAAATGTCACGAACTCAGTTTCAACAGACAGAGACCCTGTATAAGGTTCCCAAGGAGTGGCTGGTGGGTTTGAACTGCCAACCTTATGTTTAGTGGTCTAGTACTTACCGCTCCTCAGTAACCCTATTCTGCCAACCAACTTGACAGCACACCTCCACCGTTCACATTTTATGGGACCTCATTCAATAACTGAAGACAAAAAAGGGAGTTTTTTCTAAGGTGCTTTCTGCTTCCAAATTAAACAGACATATTGCCAGAAACTACACCCTTCAATGGCCTACAGATTTTGCGAATGCAGACCAAAGCAATCTCCAATCTGTTATGTGACCTACAAGGAGCCCTGGTGGCACAAAGATTAAGTGCTTGCTTAGTTGCTAACTGAAAGGTTGGTTATTGAACCCACCCAGTGGGTCCAGAGGAGAACGACCTGGCATTCTGCTCCAGTTTAACAGCTTAGAAAACCCCAAGGGACAGTTCTACTCTGTCACCAGGGACCATAGGAATAGAGAATTGTCTTAATGGAACCTAACAATAACCTTAAGTACGGACTTTGGATTTGCCTGCCCCACAATCAAGCTAGCCAAATTCCTTAAATTTTATCTTTTTTTTTTTTTTTTTTTATTTTATTTCTCTAAAGAGACCTGACTAAGACGACAGACCATCTGCTTGAGAATTGAAGAGATTTTATTCACTAAAACGTTCTTTTTTTCTTGGAGCTGAAAGTCCTTCTCCGAATGTTTAGCTTTTAGGACGATGCATAAATATAATTTTAAAGACTTCATCTTAACATCACAGGATTCTGTAAGAGCCTTTTGAATGAAAACGATTTAGTAATTTAGTGGAAAGTCATTTTTGGCTTAACTCATCATCTAGTCTTTTGTTTTTTAAGTGTCATCGAATTCCGATTCATAGCGACCCCTATATACGGTTTCCAAGGACAGGTTGGTGGGTTTTGAACCACCAATCTTGCGGTTAGTAATCCAGGGCTTATCCTACAACGCCACACCAGAACTCCAAAATCCATCATAAATATCTTTAGATTAATACAATGATTTATCAACCTCATTTTCATTTGGGGGATCAGATCCTCTTGCATCCGTATCTACCATCTCCATGCTCCTTCTCTCCTTCGTCATTCTTTCTAGGGTAAATTCGCTTCCCCTTTTTCCACAAAGATTTTCCCAAACCCCCGGATCCGCGGCTACGCCTCGTCGCTCAGAAGCCGGGGAAGAAGAAGGAAGAGGAGGAGTAAAACAAGCGCCCTGGACGCAGGCCTGCAGGAAGCTCTGCAGCTAGAAGCAGGAGGGGTCTTGGGTGTGGGAAGGGCCCACCCTCGGGAGAGGCTCGACCCGGCTCGGCGAGGATGTCTTCTTTAGCGATGCTGGTCCCGCTACCCAGCATGGGCAGGGCGCAGAGGCGGGGCAAGAGAGCGCGATGGTTTGGCGAAGAGTTTGTTCCAGCCAAGGCTGTTAAGATGCAGGTTGAGGGCCGTAGAGGAGCGTCCTTCCGGCCGCTCAGCCCGCACAAAGGGCCCCCCAAGCTGGCCGCCCGTAGCTTCCTCACCTGTGCTTGGCGGCCGAATTCCCAGCGGACCCTTGTACCCGCAGCGCCGCTGGTAGAAGCTCTGTGCAGCGCTGGGGAACCACGAGAGTAGACAGTCTGGAACAGAGGCAGCAGCTACTCCAGTTTGACCGCCACTCGGGTTTTCAGGTTCGGTTCCCGGGATTGGGCCCCGCCCGCGTTCTCTTGCCCCGCCCTCCCGCCAGACTAAAGAGGACCCCGGATGTTACCTCTTTTCGGCGTTCTGAATCACCGCCCTTTCTTCTCAGGTCTCGCCCCCTTCCTAATCCGCTACGGGTCCTGCGAGGCCTAGGAAGGGTTTCGATGTCTCTAGGGTGGCTAGAGCGTCCTCCCGCGCTCCGTCGCGCTGCAGGTGACGGCGCCCGGAGGCTGTCGGGAAGTAGGCGGGGTGACGTGGGATTGACGAGCTCAGCGGCGGGTTTACAGAGATCTGTGACCGCGGCTGCTGTTGTGGGGGGCAACTGAGAGCGAGAGGTGGAGCGGGGCGGCCAGCGGTTGGGGCCATGACGGGCAATGCCGGGGAATGGTGCCTCATGGAGAGCGACCCTGGGGTCTTTACCGAGCTCATTAAAGGATTCGGTGAGAGCCAAGGGGACCGTCCTGGGCCGAGGGTCACGGGAGGAGGCCCAAGCTGGGCATGGAGAGGTTCTCTGCGGCGGTCTCCGCTCCACTTCTGAGGGGAGGCGGGTCCAGGAATCTGGAGTCGGGCAGAGGAAACGCAGGACTCCCCTCTCTCCCTTCTTCAGTTCTTGGCAGTCACTTTTCCATAGTAATTTTGAAAGACTTGCCACGAGGACAAGGTCCATATGTCTCGTACCTCGCTCTAGTTTCAGGACCTGGAACTCCAAAAACAAAACAAAACACAACCTTGCTTATGTGATTGAATGTATCCCAACCGTTTAGGCACATGGTGTGTTTTTCTTCCTGCCTCCCTTACAAGCGCGGGAAGTGTGCTGCATGAAAAAGCCGGGCCTAGGGTGCGCCTTTCCTTGGGTGGGGTGTCTAAAGCCCTAGCCGCCGAGGAACCTGAGATTCTAGTTATTCTAAGTAGAACATTTGAATGTGTGACCAGCTCTGCAGGATCTCCCTACAAGCGCGGACCCAATAGGTCACTTCACTGGTCCCTCTGCCCTCTACTCATTCTTAGTTCCTAGCAAAGTATTTTCTTGGTCCAGTGCTCTAGATTTGGGATTTCCCGCATCATCTCTCTGGTTCTATTCCCTGCTTTCCACCGTAAATAATAATCACTTTTTGCTTTAATGTGCCTCTTCTCTTTCGTTGGTCAGTAACTTTAGTTTTCATATGTTAATTTCCTTCAGGTATTATTCTTGCTCATGTTAAAACTTGTACTTGGGATAAGAAACTGCTGACATTGTTTATTGTACATAGTTGAACATTTGAAATATCATTAAGGATACATTGTTCATCTGTTCAGGCACACTGAGCTCACAAATGGCATTGTGTGCTAATTGTTGTGTTATGTTGTCATTAAAGTGATGTGAAGTTAGTTCCCACTCATAAGGACCGTCTATAGAGAGCTATTGGTGGATTTCAGCTGGTGGATTTCAATTGCTGACCTTTGCGTTTAGCAAGTCTTTGCTTAATTGAGGTGTCATAGTATATAAACAGTGTGCCACATACCAGTTTGTGGAGGAGCAAGTTGCTGTTAAGTGCTCTCGAGTCGGTTCCGACTCAGCGACCCTGTATAGGGTTTCCGAGGAGCAGCAGGTAGATTTGAACTGCCAGCCTTGTGGTTTGCAGTCCAGTGATGGTCCTACAGCAACATAGGGAAAATATGAACAGTTGTGATGTTATTAAATGATTTAGGGAACAAGTATCAAAGTGACTGAAACAATGTTAACAGAAGGATGAAGTATTTCAAGCTAAAGCTGAGAAGATAGCCTGAAGCCAGATTGTATGCCCTGTTGTGTAGTTTGAATTGCCTTGCTATCACTGGGGTCTTTGAATAGGATAATGCTGATTGTTTTTATAATTAAGAAATGTTATAGGAATCTCCATGAATGAAGAGCAGGCTACCCTGCTGTAGTTTCCTGCCATTTCAGAGCTCCTCAGTCTCTCTCCAGTACCAACTGAAACAAATGATCATTGTTTGCCATATGTCTTGCTCATTCATTACTTGTGTGCACCCTTTGCTTCTGTGGGGGGGAAAAAGGATCCTATAAAAAGCCAGTAAGTGGACAAAGCAATCCCTTGCTTACATAGTATTAAGTATCATTATATAAAATCTAGAAATTATTTAAAGTGTACAGGGAGGATGTTTATAGGTTATATGCAGATAATTTTACCATTTTATGGAGTCCTGATATGATGCTGTAGGATAAGCACTAGAATCACAGGTCAGCAGTTCAAACCTACCATCCACTGCTCAGAAACCCTATACATGGTTGTTGTTAAGTTGGGACTCCACAGCACTTAACAAGAACACCATTTTATATAAGAGACTTAAGTGTCCATGGATTTTGGTATCTGCGGTGGGGTTTTAGTATGCAGAGTGAATTGGAATGAAGTGAGAGGAGCTATGTTATTGTTAAGTGCTGTTCAATCAGTTCTGACTCATAATCACCCTGTATAGGTGATTGAACTGCCAGCCTTGCAGTTCAAACCAGCCTTGTAGTCCAGTGCGTATCCTACAGCACCACACCAGGATTACAGAGAAGCTGTAAGTCTTCCTTAATATAATCAGAGTCTGAGATGATTGTCCATACTTAAAGTAGTGAGCTAGAGAGGAAGAGGTAGATCCAGTGATTTTACTGAATCCAGAAATTCTGACTGCCTGGATGTGGGGGAATAGAAAAGTGAAATGATTATTGTTTCCAGCTCTGGTTTCATGTGAGAAATAACAATACAAGAGAAGAGTAAACTTGATGGACAAGAAAATGGGTTCAGTTTTGATCATACATTGAACTTGAGATGTCTGCAAGATGAATTTTATCTTTAAAATTTTAACTATAATGGCATATTGGAGTAAACTTTAATCAATAACGTATACTACGTTAAGTTTCTTTGTTTTAAGATAATTTAATCAATTAACCGCTATTACATAATTTTCGTATGTACAGAAGACTCAGGATTGAAAATGATTTAACTAAAGTCCTGAGCTTCAGAGAATGACATGTAAATGCAAGTTCTGTACCTGCATATTATAGTAGAACTTAGAAAAAGTTACCTGATGATAGTATCATCACCATGCCTCAAAGAGAAAATTAGTTTATTCCAATATTTTAATTTTTCTCATGAATTGAAGTCTTTTGGAAGTTAGTTTATTCAACAGTACAGTTTGATTATATTGTGGCTTCTATTATAAATTCATTTTAAAAGTTCAGCATTAGAAAAGAGATTATTTGTAAATAGAGTGACTATATAGATACAAATTTTGGTAGAATATAATATCATGGTATTAACTTAATGGTGTTAACTTAAGAAATCTAATGGAGCAGAAATGTGGAATCCTGGTGTGGCACTGTAGACTAAGCACTGGACTGCTAACAGCCTCTCTTCAGGAATTCTGTATAGGGACTGAATTGCAACAGACTCAGCAGCACTTAACAACAGTAACAATATAGAGCAGAAATGTACTTTTACTTGGTTGCAATGTATTAATAATAAATGCAACAACAGAATGAAACACTTCTTGGTCCTGTGCCATCCTCACAATTGTTGTTACATTTGGGCCCATTGTTGCTGCCTCTTTGTCAGTCCATCTTGTTGAGGGTCTTCCTCTTTATCGTTGACCCTCCACTGTACAAGTATGATGTCCTTCTCCCGGACTCTTCTCTGCTGACAACATGTCAAAAAACCAGAGACAAAGTCTTGCCATTCTTGCTTCCAAGGAGCATTTTGTCTGTATTTCTTCCAAGTCAGATTTGTTTACACTTCTGGCAGTCTCTAGTACCTTCAGTATTCTCTAACACCATAATTCAAATGCAGAGACTTCTTCTATGGTCTTCCTTATTCATTGTCCAACTTTCAAATGCATATGTTGTTAAGTGCCTTTAAGTTGGTTCCCACTCAGAGATACCCCGTATAGGATTTCTCCAAGGAGTGGCTGATGAGCTTGAATTGCCAACCTTGCAGTTCAAATTGACCTTGTAGTCCAGCACGTTAACCCACAGCACCACACCAGGACTCCTAATTCCAAAGTGGTGTTATATGTCCTGGAGTCGGTTCCGACTCATAGCGACCCTGTACAAGGTTTCCGAGGCTATAAATCTTCACGGGAGTAGAAAGCGTCATCTTTCTCCTGCGGAACAGCTGGTAGTTTCGAACTGCTGACCTTAAGGTTCGCAGACCGATTCATAACCACTACACTACCAGAGCTCCTTAGATGCATATGATACAATCGAAAATACCAGGTCTTGGGTCAGGCACATAGTCCCCAAACTGATATCATTGTTCTTAAACACTTAGAGGTCTTGTTGTGCAGATTTGCCTAATGCAATTTGTCCATTGATTTCTTGACTGTTGCTTCCATGAGTGTTGATAGTGGATTCAAGCAAAATGAAGTCTGACAACTTCAACCTTTTCTCCACTTATCATGTACTATTTTATTGGTGCAGTTGTGAGGATTGTCATTTTCTTTATATTGAAGTACAATCCATACTGATGGCTGTAGTCTTTGTTCTCTTTCAGCAAGTATTTAAAGTCCTCTTTGCATCCAGTAAGCAAGATTGTGTCACCTGTATATTGCAGGTTGTGAAAGAGTCTTCCTCCAATCCTGATGCCACATTTGTTATATAACTATCTTCTCAGCATACAGTTGAGTAAATATGGCGGGATACAACCCTGGTGCACACCTTTCCTGACTTTAAACTAATGACCTCTTGGTCATTAGTACCTATTCTTTGCAATGTTATCCGTAGTTTGTTATGGTCCATATAGTTGAATGCCTTTGCATAATCAATAAAGCACAAATAAATATCTTTCTGGTATTTTCTGATTTTATCTAAGATCCATCTAATCTTAGCAGTAATAGCAATCTGAGCATTCTCTTCTGACAGGCTTGAATTTCTGGCAGCTTCCTTTCAGTTTACTGCTGCAATGGTTTTTGGATTACCCTCAACAAAATTCTATTTGCCTGGGTGACTTTCACATTCTGTTGAGTCACTTTTCTTTGAAATGGGCACAAATGTGTATCTTTTCTGATTGATTAGCCAGATAACTGTCTTCCAGATTTCTTGGTATAGATACGTGAGCACCTCCAACACTGCATCAGTTTGTTGAAACATTTCAATTTGTGTTTTATCACTTCCTGGACCCTGTTTTTAGCAACCTTCAGTGAATTTCTCCTTAATGCCATTGTTGTTGTTGTTATGTGCCATCGAGTCGGTACTGACCCATAGCAACCTTATGCACAGCAGAACGAAACACTGCCCGATATGTTGCCATGCTTGAGTCCATCGATGCTTGGCCAATCCATCTCATTGGGGGTCTTCCTCTTTTTCTCTGACCCTACACCTTACCAAACATGATAACCTTCTCTAGCGACTGCTCCCTCCTAACAATATGTCCATAGTATGAGAGATGAAGTTTGGCCATCTTGGCCTCTAAGTAGCACTCTG